TGTTACTGAGACGTTAGCCTTTTCTGTCCCAGACGAGGTACTGCAAGAAGTCGTCGGTGTGGTTATCGTCACACCTCCGGGCTTCACTAGGCCGGATCTTCGCCAGATACACGAAGCACTGCAGCCTATTCTCCACCAGCCTAAGTGGCCCGCTCTGGTAGTATACATGGACGGCGTGCCCAAGGCAAACAACAAAATCCAGCGGATCAAGCTCGCAGAGCGGCTGTCCCTGGATATCTTGACCACGGCCACACCCCTGGCAAACAGGCACTACGAAGCTGTCTGCCCACCTACTGGCGCTCCGCTCAGCGCATCAATCTCGAAAAACTTGTGTGTCGTCGATGATAAAATAATCCGCTCAGTTCTCACCAAGAGAGCAAATACCCCTGACATGCATGTGCAGATAAACCCGCGCGACGGGCTCGCACAGGTTGTTTTGTTTGTCCATAACCCAGATGATGACCATGTGACACCTGGCGAGCTCCACGACCACCTCCATGGCTATCTCGTACCTAGCCGTATCATTCCGCTCAAAGGTCCCATGCCTCTCGACTTCTACGGAAACCCCAACCAGGCCGCTATCAATGAGGCCATCCTTGCCCGCAACTCGGATGGTAACCTGTCGCCCATTCAGCAGCGCGTACGTGAGATTTTCGCTGTGGCCTTGTCTTGTGCACCAGAGGAAGTATCTCGTCTTACCGACTTTTTTGCTGCTGGAGGTGATAGTCTTAGTGCTGGTCGAATGGTTTCGCAACTTCGTCGCGAATTCGCTATTTTCCTGGCCGGTGACATTCTCTTCCACCACAGCACTGTTGGAGAGATAGAGCACAAGATCATTGAAGCTGTTGAAATTAAGGCTGCCAAGGGTGACGATGGAGAAGTTGACTTGCCCGGTTGTGAGAAGACATACAGCAGCACGAACCCAATTATCTTGATCCTACACCTGTTACCGACTGTGTTCTTTTTCCCCTTGAAACGCGCCTTCCAGTGGATCATGTTTGCATACGTCGTGGCTGAGTGCTCAAATCGATTTCCCATTCGTGAGAACCTCTTCGCTCGTTTGATGCTGGTTGTTTTTGCCGTGATGTCTGCTCGCTTATGTTCACAAATTGTGTCTCCCATCTTTGCTATAGTCTTCAAGTGGCTCGTCATCGGTCGCTACAAGGAGGGCATGTCGCCCATGTGGGGCCCGTACCATACGCGCTGGTGGTTGACCCAGAAGGTATTGCAGGTGTGTGGAAAGGGACTCTTCAACAACTACAACTGGTCCCGCATTCTCTTCTACCGTTTAATCGGCGCAAAGATTGGCAAAAATGTTACCATGTCCGCGTCCGCTAAGCTTGGCGAGTATGATCTTGTTGAGATTGGCGATAATGTCGTTTTGGATACCTGCATGTGTCGCCCCTTCGGCGTGGAGCGCAATACCTCTATACTTTTGAAGCGCATTCGCATTGGCAAAGACTCGTCGATAGGGATCAAGTCTGTCATCGCTCCTGGTGCTGACATCCCAGAGAGGACCTGCATTGGTCCTAACTCGTCGAGCTGGGAACTCCGGGACGCCGATGAGTCTAACCGCCAATTGCTGACCTCCCAGATCCCCAAGCCTCACTGGATCTGGATTCTCTTTATTGTTGAGCCAATCAAGTTGATCACCTGGACGGCTGCTCGTATTACCTGGATGGGCGCTCTTATTCCTATGGTTCTCGAGTTCCCTACTCCTGCGGCAGACATGTTCCGGTCTACCCTAGAATGGTACACCAGTGATCAGCGGATTGCGTTCCACATCACCGCAAGGATCTGTCGTGCTGTTGGTGGCCCGATTGTGCTTTTTATTGCAGTCTTGATCATCAAGTTCTTCCTCGATCTCACCTGTGGCAAGCCCAGACCTGGTCCTGCCTCAAAACAGACCACTCGCCAAAAGATTCGGAGTGCGGTGCTTGCGCAGATTCTGCCCGCAGGTGACATCCACGGACTCACCCGCCTTACTGGTCGTCACTACGAATTTGTTTCAATGGCTGTCCGTGCCCTTGGTGGCAAGGTTGGCAAACATGTCTACTGGCCTAGTGTTGGTCCCGTCACTGTCGACTTTGATCTCATTGAGGTTGGTAACGATGTTGTTTTTGGTTCTCGCTCGACTCTGGTCACATCTGATGGCTACGGCCGTGATCGCATCGTGATCGGTGATGGCACCATGGTTGGTGATCGTGTCGTCGCTTTGCCCGGTGCTACCATCGGCCGTCAAGCAATGATAGGCTCCGGTGCTTTGCTTCGCCGGAACGGGGACTATCCTGCCAACACTGTCTGGACTGGTAGCAAGGGTGGTGAAGCTATACAGTTCCCAAGTTCCACCTCGACCTCCACTTCGACCGCTCCAACCATCATCGGAGATGGTAGCAGCAGCCCCAACACCAGCGGCAGCGAAGACGAGAAAACACCCACCGAGAAGCAGACCTACTGTGGAACTAAGGACAAGGCCGTTACCGAGATCGCTGAGCAGGAAGTGGATACATGCAAGCCTTTCGGTCGCGCCTTCTACCGCCACGAGGCCAACTACTACGTCCTCCGCATGTGGCAAATTGTCATATATTCCACTTTTGCAGTTATTTTCACTACTGTGTATTGGCTTCTCACCGTCTTGTTCTCCCTTTTCGTTCTCCGCAGTGTCCTGAGCTACAGTGATGCTGCTGGTTTCAAGCAAGGCGCCTGGCGCCCATTCGTTCTGTACGGCACGCTCGCCTCGATCCTATCTGTCATCACCACCGTTCAAGTCGCCCTTGCCTTCGGCATCATTCTCTGTATAAAATGGACGGTCGTAGGCCGTCGCAAGGAAGGCTCCTACCACTGGGACAAGAGCAGCTACAACCAGCGCTGGCAATTCCTCCTTTCCTGCGAAACGTTGATCAAAGACTGCTATGACGGAGTTGGTCTCCTGCCCATGATCTCTGGCTCTGCCTACATTTCCTGGTACTACCGCCTCTTGGGTGCGAACATTGGAAAGGACTGTGCGATACACGCCAACGGTAGTCCCAGCATCTTCTTCACCGAGCCGGACCTCCTTACCCTTGGTGACCGTGTTGCTGTCGATGATGCCAGTTTGGTCTGCCACTTGAACTCCCGTGGTGGATTCGAGCTGCATACCCTGAACGTTGGGGATCGGAGTATCCTGCGCGCTGGATCGCGCTTGATGTCTGGTGCTTCGATGGGCCAGGATGCTTGTCTTTTGGAGCATACTCTGGTCCTGTCGGGTGACCATGTTGAGAATGGAGATACGCTCCAGGGATGGCCGGCCGAAGGATTTGACGGGAAACGTGTTTAGAAGTCTTAGATTGTTTTCCATTTCTTGGTGTTTTGTCTTTGTCCTAGAGAACAGATATACTAGCAATTATAGATCGGACTTCTCAGATTTTCATTATTGTTATATTGTCATAGAGAAGATCAAGTGCATTTTAATTATGAACAGAAATACGCCACTTCTATCACATTTTTATTTGGGAATTACTATACACACACCCTTCCAACCACTTCAGGTAAGGCCTTTCTTATCCCTGTTTTGAAGACTCTTTTGAAGACTCTTTTTTTACCCATAGACCCAGCACTCTCAACTGCCCATTACTCGTATTTGTAGGATCACTATCATCTATTATATGAATCACTTCATAAATCTAGCCGGCGCCAGTATCATGTGACAGCCTTTAATTATCAATTATTTACCAGTTACTTTACGAACTGCGTTATTATTTCACCATGATGGCTTCAACTGTAAATTTAATACAATCTACTTTCTAACTCCGAGCCTAAGATCGTCCCGAATCCACTACCCACTCCCCCACCCTCACTCCACTCTCCGCCCCGGCTGTGATAAGAACCGAGACAGGCCACGAGGCCGGCTCCGACATAGGCCCAGTCGAGGACATACAACATAGATACTAGAAGGGGGGAAAGGCATAAAAACCACGGAGTACTCCGTACGGAGTAGTATAATCAACCCGGCAGGATACAAAAGGGGATTGTTACAGGGACCCCCCCCCCAAATTGCTAATTCGACCCCCCTTTGGCTAATAGGACCTTTGATTCTGCTTTATTCTGCCTTACACATAAGGCACCAACTTAATTCTGCCAGACTTAATTCTAAGGCAGAAGAAATATCAAGCGGCAGAATATATACCCGTTCCTTGCCAAGACCAGGCATATGGCAGATTCTGGTCCGACCCGATCAGAAAGGCGGTATGTACTGAGGTCAGGTGCCCGATGATTAAGGAGTGCCAAGGCCTCAAGATCTTATGCATCTTTGGCTTTATTTGCCAGTTCCTAAATTCCCTGGGATTTTGGGGATGTTGTTCTTTACTTTCCTTTGCGTATTGCTTTGTTGTTCTTGTTCAAAATATGTCGATAATCTAATTCTAACCCACCTATCAGCAGATGGAAATCTGGTAGATTGAAGTCCTCAAGATCAACCACGCAAAGAAAGAAATCGACTACCCTCTGGTGTTTATTCACAAGGAAGCCTCTAATTAAGTCCACAAAGAAATAGCAAGAGACCAAATTGAATCATCTTTGGTTTCTTTGTCGGTCTAAATTTCTTTGGAGTCGACATGATCAGCTTTGGGTTTTCGGAGATGCTGTTCTTTTCAAAACATGCCATTAGTCTAATATTATCTTCTTGGCTAGAGAGTTTATAATCAAATCTTAAAAGCACCCCACATAGACTCTTTGATAAAACTGTCTGGTTTGGATCCTAGTTCTTAGATGCGTGTTCTAATGCTAAAAATGGAATCGATTCTTTGAGCTTATACTTCGGCCCTCTGGACTCGGGACCGACTTTACCTTGAGGCATTTCTTATGGGACTTGTAAGGAAGCTCTCTTCGGATGCAGCTATAAATAAGACGATGTTCTTCGCAATCGACAAATCTAATACCTATTCCCAATCTCGAGCCTCCCTCCTTACCTCTTACCGTTTCCCTCCAAAACTCATACTTTATTCACCATTGCTTTCCTCGACATGCCTGAGCCCCAGTGGTCTAACGCTCAAATACCTAAGGGTTTTCCCCGGGATTGGCTAAAAACCCACGACAGCTACACTGCACCTATGCCGGAGGTGCATAAGATTCACGTACTGAGTTCATATTCTGACGACATTGATGGACTGAAAAGCTCAAAGACCGAGGATCCTATTGAACTTCCGGTTCTCAGCCCGAATGGTCCGGTTAACGAAAAGTATAAAGTGGCCCTCTCAACATTCCTGCACGAGGAATTTCAAACAAACTATATGATAAAAGACGACCCTTTGCATTACGAACGACGCTACGTCGTTTGGCTCGGCATTGACTTGGATAGATTTGGATTAATCGACACCCCAGCTAGCTTTTTCCGAGTGCTAGAGATGTCGCTTTTGTCCGAACATATAATCATACAGGAGGGTACACCGCCCGTAGGGCTTTCTATGCCTAAGCGCGCACTGTGGATGGTTATGCATGGGTATTTCGGGAATTGGTATGAACCAGAAGGGAAGAAATGGGCAGTCTTAGCCGCAAAAAGACGCACGCGCCTTCTTAAGAAGCTTTGGGAGCGGGGGGATATACGGCTTGTCGATGAGAAGCCCCTCCTCAGTGAATACCAAGTGCGCCGCGTGGCATCGACAACTCGTTCTGAAGTCGAGACATATCGAGAATTTCTTCGTTACCAGCACTTCAACATGGGAAAAGAGATGATTTTCCCTGAACTTTGGGAGGAGGAGGAAGAAGGTTGGTATTGGGAGGAGAAAAAAAACCATTTACATGGCTGTATACTTGCTTAATGCTACCTCGTGTTCTGCATTTCTATTTCTCTCAGATAAGTATCTTATCATTGCCTCTGTCGCTGCTTGAACTCCTCACCCCTTCGTGGATTACATATCTAGTTCGCTCTTGTTGATAGATACTCTGGGTCTCTTGCAATTTCACTTGTACTTTAGCTTGGTAAAATCCTATCATGATATCTTCAGATATACAAAGAACCTAGCACTGTAGGATTCAGAATGTCTTACCCTCTCAATCGAGAGAGTCATTGCAAGATGACTAAACAAGGAAAATTGCGACAATTTGTTTTAGAGTGCATTGTCTTAGTCTGTCTCTCAAAGCGGTCGACAATGGCCTTTGGTTTGAAGTAATCAGAATATGGATTAAGGTATAAGCTACTACTTTCTATAGGTGTAATATGTACACTTAGGAAGACAAGAAGCGGAAGGTTCAATGGATTCACACAATTATATCCGCTATCTGCTATTCGCGCCATTGCGAATCCGATATGAATTTCGTCACATGGAACATAGATGAGATCTAGTTCTTTGAAGCAATCACTATTGATTCTCTTTTTGAGACATCCAACTCAGCACCGTGAGTTTTACGTGGACAAAGGAAATAATAAGCCCAGTCCTGACGATTGTTGGACAGACAACAAATAGCCTATTAAATTGAAGCGAAATATTGATATGGTCGCATACTGGAACATGAAACCATTGTCCCTAGAATCTGTGACTATGGGGTACACAATTTATTATTTATAGTTGAAACTAGACGTACTAAAGAAATGGGTTCAGAACGTAAAAGGCTATACTATATATTTTGTAAGTTCTATCGCTCATCCGGGGGTTTTCATTTTCACTCACTTCTCCATCTCACCAAACATGGAAGTTGTTGCTACGGTCCTTAGCATCACACGCGCATCGGTGTTTGTGATCAATTTTTTTCGATGAGTACCGACAATTGATTGTGACCAAAGAGCTAGGTTATCTCCGCGATATGGCAGATGGACTGAGGACCACACTCAGTCGGACCGAAAATATTGCTGAACTTATCTTGAGACACACAGATCCCTCGTCCGTAAGTGCTAATGGCTACAAGGCTCTCTGCGAGGACCTCCAAAAAAAACTTATCGACTTCAAGAAGACTGCAAAGATAATCAACCACAGGCTTCAAAGTATTTGTGGCAAAACAGGCTCCAAGTTTTCCAAGAACCATAAGGGTTTGGTAAAGCTCATACGGCTACAAGCCAACACACGACTCTTCCGACGGTTGCAAGATCGGGTATCCTCCCATGCATCCTCCATTGGCTCCTTGCTGCTTGTCATGGATACGTGAGATTTCCGTGATTCAATATCAAGTTACTGGCTAACCATTCATACCTAGGTACTATCAACAAGGATTCCAGGAAAAGCTTGATATCAAGATTGATCGCCTGCTGCTGCTTCAGGAACAATCTCGGCTACCCAATGAGCTTGGCACACAGCAGGTTGGCACGGCCACCTCTTTGCCCAACAAAAGCAAGCCATTCACCATTCCTCGACTTGCCACTGACTTTTATCGAGGGCGGAATGATTATTTCGAGGACTTGTTGCAAAAGCTCAACCCTTCTTTGGTCGAGGGCCCCGAATACTCAAATCGAATGATATATATCTCTGGCGATGCAGGAGTAGGAAAGACATACTTGTGTTCTGAATTTGCGGAGAAGTACAAGACTTGGTATGGATTTTACACTATCCTTTGCTTCATATATATCTTACTAACTATTCAAAGTTACTCCGGCGTTCTTTGGATTGATGATGTTCTTAATGACATCTCAGCATTTTATGTTGAGAACAACCGATTTGAGAGCCTCAACATCCCAACACAGGCGGCAGATGTGGCTAACTGGCTGACTGGGGTTCATGAGCCATGGCTTTTGGTCATTGATGGCGCTGAAGATTTGACAAAATGGAAATGTCTTTCGTCTTGCGGTGACAAAAAACACATTCTTATCACGACCAGAACAACCCAATCGGACACCGCTACCTCTGTTCATATCTCAAGGATGGACACTAAGGATTCACAGGAATTCCTTTTGTGGGCCGCGGGTTTCTTGAAGCCTTGGTGTGCCTCGGATCTTGCGTGGAGTAATGATCTCATTGGCAAACTTGGTTCCAATGCGCTGCCCCTTACCTTGGCCCATGTGGGTGCCACGGTGCGCAATGGCTTTTCCGCCCCAGAAGACTATCTGGCACTCTTGGAAGAGCAAGAGACAATGGAAACACAAGCAGATCCTTCGCAAGATTTACAAAGGTTGGCCTTTGAAGTGGCTATCGCACAAATTCGAAAACAAAAAGATCAGTCATCCAAGGACGCACACAAACTCCTCAACGCTTTCGCCCTTTTTCCCAATAGACACATGTCTTTGGAGACCGCAACAAAAGCAATCATCACATCCAAGACTATTGGCGGGGAGCAGCGACGGAGATACCACAAGAGATTTCCCACACCAAAACTCATTAGACGGAATGGGAAAGCCTACAACACTCCTCAATCCACATCTCGTCGGCAAAGCTCGGATTCTGTTGCCCTTTCACGAGTTCACTGGGCGATCATGGAGCTCCTCGATATTTCCGCGGTTATATATCACCCATCAAGTGGTACATACTCGATGGAAGCTGTCTTGAAAAGCTGGATCGCAGACAGCCTAGGTCAATCTGAGCGCGAAGTTTGGAAAAACTTAGCCGAGATGATAGCCCCGCAAAAGGCGTCCAAAGAATCCCTTTGATAGTTTTTTGACAGAATTTCCTTGTTCCGGATTTAGTTCGTTGTGTTTTCCCTTCTTTTCTTCAGTGTGAGTTGGTTATATAGTCGAATCTCATAATCCTATCTTCTAGTTTTTCCAATCTTCCAGCTGTGACGAGCCAGGTCTTGCAAAGATGGAAGAGTGCATCAATAAGAAGCAAGTTGCAAAGTGGGAAACAGCCAGTTCTTATAGCTGACCACTTTGTAAACAATGTAAACAACCAACTCTCGCTTAGCAATAGCAAATAACCAAAGAAACAAACAAGCAAACGTTGCGATCGTAACACCAGCCTTCATTCTTGGATTCACCCATGTACCTAGATATCTGCCTTGTAGGACTTGAACTTTTCTCAAACCTTCTTTGCATTTATTGAAGGTACGAAGGTGTATAGTGGCCAACAGTCATGCCTGATTTTAATGGTTTTATACGGAGTCCGTTGATCAATTAGTCAACAATAGTACAATAGTCTTGTGCAAGGGCATTCTCATAGTCAGGAACATTTTATATTTCATACCAGTAATTAGTCATCGCAGAGCAAAGCGACTGATTCTAACTTCTAATGCTACGCAAAGTATGACTGTAGAAGCTCTGGGAAAGATAATGATGGTTCATTCTCTAGGTATAGACCGTCGGGATATACTGGAGAGGCCCACGTGACCATATGGTCACAATCTAGCCAAATTAGGCCTAGTCTATATTTATTCTGCCGGTTAGATTATTCTGCCAAAGTTAGCCGATGACATTTCACCGCATAGTTTCTCATGAACTTCGACCCCAGTGAAGAAGAGGAGGTTCACATGACATGCATACACGAGGTTATGATTTATTGTTGCTTTGCTTCGCTCCGCAAAAATTATAGGAGCTAGTTTTCTTGGAGTTGCTGTTATATAACCCATTCATAGAGGCATCGTAGGCACCTCACCAATAACCAACAGCGAAAACAAGAATAGACTCCGCCTTCTAGGGCTTCAAAGAGCCACTGCTCACAAGACTTCTACATCCTTTCCCACCCCGTTGCTTTCATCTCTTAAACGCATCGAGTGGAACTAACTTTTAAATAAGGATCATACGGGATTTCGGCTATACCATGCTGCAATCGAGAGCGCCAAGAAAAGGTCTAGCCTATAGTGATGTCTGAGTACCATGCACTTCCTGGTGATGTGTCCAATTTCCTCCAGTGGTAGCAATTTCCGTCTGCCGCCTCTTGCGTAAGTAAGATTTTATACCCCACACCAACAGGTCTACCCCGCAAAATTACTATTTAGAGCGCTGATAGTGCGGGGATAGTAGACTAATGCACTGAGAGAGCGCCACATTATGGGCTGAATCATGTTTCCCGGCCAATCCGAATCTGAGTGAATCATAATATCGCTTCACTTCATTAGACTCTGTTATATACGGTTCTTTAGAGTTTGAAGCAATTACCGATTATTCCGCAACAAATTTTGGGAAGAGAAACAGCTAAAAATATGACATTGAACGCAAATTCGTTCCCTGGTATACAATTCTGTAAGCCAGGGATATGTACATATAAATGGGCATAGCTAGTAATGTAGGATAATTTGAGAGAACCAATCTTCTCGTCTTTGCCGGATGAGTTCAACAAACTGCTTTTTATCCCCCACGCAGACGTTCCTTGACCATACCCCGCCTAGGAGAATGGGGGGAAAGGGATAGCAAAGATCCCTGGAGATATCTTCCTTGTATAGGATCTGCAAGAGATTGGTCTCGGCAATCAGATGAGCTGATGCCAGCTGTACATGAAATGCGGGGAACTTCACAGAAAGCGCTTCAGGGAGGTATTGGCTTTGGGCTGTTTGAGATAGTCAACCTGAAAGATAGGACATAATGATCAGCAGTTTCTCTTTCAATGTGCTGCAATGGTCATGCTTTTGTTATTCTCAACACGCTGATACAGTGTGCTTGACTGGATAGAGCTGGACAACACATTACTTGGAGTGCGTTGGATCAATGTACTTTTTGACAAAGATGAGTCTGATGTTAACCACCCTCCAGTACTTGAACTCTGTCTCCGCGCGCGGGGTCAATGTAGAAGGCTATTGGCTGTGCGTATGGGTTGAGATGGGGAAATTGCCTCTGTAGATACTTCCATGGGCACACAAGCACAGCTATATAAGGCCCCTCTGGTAGGTCCCATCAGAAGTCTGCTTATTCCCTCGAGCACTTTCTTCACAATCATTCTCAATTGCTATATTGTCAACATATTCAGAGTCATGACTATCCCAGACGAAGTTGATATCATCATCTGCGGTGGCGGCAGCTCGGGATGTGTCCCTGCGGGCCGCCTCGCGAATCTTGATCACAACCTGTCTGTTTTGTTGATTGAGGCAGGCGAGGATAACTTGAACAATCAATGGTGAGAATGCCGAGGCTACCAGTCTTAAAGGAAGTATTCTCATTTCAACCTAGGGTGTACCGCCCGGGTATATACCCGAACAACATGAAGCTTGATTCAAAGACGGCATCATTCTATCACTCCAGGCCATCTGAGCATTTAGATGGTCGCCAGGCTATTGTTCCATGTGCCAACATTCTTGGAGGTGGCAGTTCTATCAACTTTATGGTAAGTGATACCTACCTGACAGTTTGACTCAGTGATCCTAAGCTGAATACATTAAAGATGTATACCAGAGCATCCGCGTCCGATTATGACGACTTTCAAGCAAAGGGTTGGACAACCAAGGAACTTCTTCCATTGATGAGGAAGCACGAAACATACCAACGTGCGAGCAATAACCCGGAATTGCATGGCACTGACGGACCCATCAAGGTTTCATTTGGGAACTATACGTATCCGATCAAGAATGACTTCCTTCGTGCTGCTGAGACGCAAGGAATTCCCTTCACTGATGACCTGCAAGACTTGAAAACTGCGTACGAGCTCCACGATAGATCTCCTATTTTATCTTACTAACGAAGAGTTGTAATGTTACAGCCACGGTTCGGAACACTGGTTGAAGTGGATCAACCGTGATACAGGTAAGAACAAAGGTCCAACTTTGCATCCGTATCATTACCTCTCTCACACTCAGTATTAGGACGACGAAGTGATGCAGCCCACGCCTATGTCCACAGCACCCGAGCCAAGTATAATAATCTCCATCTCCAATGCAATACCAAAGTTGAGAAGGTGATTGTTGAAAATGGTCGTGCTGTGGGAGTTGTGACAGTCCCAACTAAGCCTCTTGACGGCGGAGAGCCAGTTCGCAGGGTCTTCAAGGCCCGAAAGCAAATCATTATTAGTTCGGGCACACTGAGTTCTCCACTGATTCTCCAGCGGTCCGGCTTTGGTGACCCTGAGAAGCTGCGCCGGGCTGGTGTCAAGCCCCTGGTCAACCTACCAGGCGTCGGCCGAAACTTCCAGGACCACTACCTTACTTTCTCCGTTTATCGCGCTAAGCCCGACGTCGAGTCCTTTGACGACTTCATTCGTGGAGATCCCAAAGTTCAAAAAAAGGTCTTCGATGAATGGGATAAGAAGGGTACCGGTCCATTGGCCACTAACGGTATCGATGCCGGGGTCAAGATTCGGCCTACGGAGCAAGAGCTCGGCGAGATGAAGAAGTGGCCTACCCCAGACTTTACAGAGGGGTATGAGTCGTATTTCAGGAACAAGCCTGATAAGCCTGTCATGCATTACTCGATCATTTCTGGGTAAGCATCTCATTTGCTTCGTTTTGAATGCCACGAGGCTAACCCACGGATAGCTGGTTCGGAGACCACATGCACATGCCTCCGGGCAAGTTCTTTACCATGTTCCATTTCCTGGTATGGTTCAAAGTCACTAAATCAGATCAGCCAGTGCTGACAACATAATAGGAATACCCCTTCTCGCGTGGTCACACCCACATTCAGTCGGCTGACCCTTACGAAGTCCCGGACTTTGATGCGGGTTTCATGAATGACAAACGTGACATGGCACCTCTGGTCTGGGGATATATTAAATCTCGTGAGACCGCCCGGCGCATGGGTTCGTACGCTGGAGAGGTCACTGCCATGCATCCTCAGTTCGCCTTCAACTCATCGGCACGGGCGCAAGATATGGATTTGGCCACTACCAAGGCATATGCCGGCTCGAACCATATTTCTGCTGGTATTCAACACGGTATAGTCTTCCTTTCCAGTCGAGTTATCCCGTCCGTCCAGCTAATCAAATAATATAGGTTCTTGGACCACTCCATTGGAACCCGGAAAGCAGCCTTCGGCTTCCACTCTCAACTCCAATAGACACGAAGCTCGTCCTTCGCTGGAGTACACCAATGAAGATATCCAGCACATTGAGAAGTGGAGTAAGTATCAAGCATAGTAATTGGTAGCCCCGGATCATATTGTCTAACGCTTTTGCTGCAGTTTCCCGCCACGTTGAGACAACTTGGCATTGCCTTGGCACATGCAGTATGGCTCCGCGAGAGGGTAATTCCATTGCACCCCATGGAGGTGTCGTTGACGAGCGCCTCAATGTTCATGGTGTCAAGGGCCTCAAGGTTTGCGACTTATCTATCTGCCCCGACAATGTGGGCTGCAACACTTTCAGCGTGAGTGTTATGTTTGTTGGTTTCTCTGGATTTGGCCAAATACTAACTATTATATCCGATAGACCGCTCTCCTTATCGGTGAAAAGTGCGCAGTCTTGGTTGCGGAGGACCTTGGCTATTCTGGGGCCGATCTGGATATGAAGGTCCCTACTTACCATGCTCCAGCAGAATTCTCCAATCTTTCTCGCCTTTGAGTGTCTTTTTTTGATGTGAACCGAAGAACGTGTTCTAGGATATTTCATTCTATTCGGCGAGAAGAAATTCCGCCCTCATTGTCAAATTGAATTAACATAGCCATTTCACTGAACAGCCAATCTGAAAATAAAGAACCAGGTAAACCGACTTATATTACCTAGACGTCATAGAGGAATTCAGAAACGAGAGGAAGTGGAGATAGACAGTTGAAGGGAAGATGGCATTTGTTAT